AACCGATGCTAGACTACCTGATAAAGCTACTAGTCCGTCAGAACAAGTGGATGAATGGGCATGGATGCCGGTGTGCAATGCCCTGATTCCAGTGAGTTTTTTACCTTTCTAGCTGCCTTCCGTAGGAATTTCTTTGTCTTACCAATCACCTCAGCGCCTGCTAACTATCTTGCTATTTCCAGGCATCGGCAGAACAAAAAACTTCAAGAACAGGGGCTACAGCACAGTTCCAGAGCGGCACATACGCATACCATCCCGTTGAGAATCCAGATAACGTCGACTGCAAGGCCGTTGTGGATAAGTGGAAGGGCGCCTACAGCAACTTTGATGGATTGCCTCCGGCTAACAAGGAAGAAGAGGATCTTTACGACAATCAGGAGAACGTGTCTTTCGTGGCCCTGTACAACCCTACAGAGAAAGCTACTGCAGACTGCCGTGTCGTCACCTGCACTAAAACGACCCAGGGAGCGGAAGCGGGCGGCGGAGGAGGCCGCGCGGAACAAAACACTGAAACAAAAGCCTCGGCTTTGATTTGCATGACTGTGCCGGATGTACTTGCCGAGGGAGGCGATGCCCCTTTCACGTGAGTTTTCTCAAGCCCTACGTCTTCTATTTTTCCCTGGGATCTGTTCTGGCTGGAGATTGTTTTTGTTTCTTGGTGCGTGTTCTGCAGAGAGGATCAATGGGGACAGATCGTGACCGCTCTTGAAGGCTCTGCGTCGGCGGTTGCACCTGGTGTGGTCGGTCTTGCATTAGCTATCCTTGGCCTCAGCTTGCTGTGACGTAAAGGCTTTTCAAGAGAGGGGTGATCCAGGAGGCATTTTCTTATGCTTGAGGGAAGCAAGGAGATTCGCTAACTGCTGATGTGTAGAAGCCGGCGGATCACATACTGTACGCTCGGGGGAGATGAGAAGCATGCAGCTGATGAGAGCATCAGGGCGGAGTTAACTGCTGGCATATCATTAAACTATCGCGAAACAGTGGTAAACAACCCGGCTATACAGTGCACAGAGGCAAATTATGTTTTTGCCCCTTGCTCCGCCCTGCCGGAGGAGCCGCTGTGGTCGACCATCAGGGCAGACGTATCTTGGAGGTGAATGGTTCATCTTGCCTGTTATTCTTGGCGGCTGTACAGTGAAGTTCCGTCGAATTCAAC